AAGATATCCTCTAGATATAGCAATCTTCTGTTCTTGGTCTGGATCGTAATTTTGGCTTATCCATGATGATATTTAACAGCAGATCTCTAGTGCAGTGTAGTTTGGGCCAGAGCAAGGATTTTTGGCTACACAGGTGAAGATGAATTTTGTCACCCCCGGTCCATCCCAAAAAATGCACCTTGACCTATGTCCCTTAATCCCACTCTTGAATTTCTTATCCCATTTTGTGTTTCTTATCCTCTTTTTTGATGTCTTACCCTCTTTAGTATATCTTAACCCCTTAATGCCGGATGACGGACCGGGTCCGTCATGCTGGGGAAGCACTTAACACCGGATGACTGACCCGGTCGGCGATCGCACTGTCCCTGCAGATGTGATCGCTCTGACAGGCTGTAAGAGCGAGCTCATGTGCTGCAGGGACTTCTGATCCGTCTCCCTGCACTTCCGCGGTCAGTGTGAAGTGCAGGGAGACGGATCAGTGCTGCTGATCTTCTCCCTGTGTAAAAAAATAAACTAAAAGTTAAATCCCACCCCCATTTCCCCTGCTTTAATTAAATTAACCCCTTCCCTGCCAACTGATCACTGACTATAAAGGAAAACACCAATCTATGAGAGGTGCTCACCTAAATAAAAAAAACAAAACAAAGTTAATTTACCATTTTATCCAGTGGTGAACGCCATTGATGAATGAGCCAATCACGTGTGGCGGTAGCAACGATCACTCATTAGAATGCTTCTTTTGACTAATGCTTCCCTGTGGACCATCTCACTTTTTTTTTTGAACAGTGATCAATTGGCACGGTCTACATTTTACTGTGATCTGATTTTTTTTTTTAACCCGTTTGGGTAACGTTTTCATTTTTTTTAACCCGTAAGGGTAAAGTTTTAATTTTTTTTAACCCTCAGGGGTTAAATTTATTTTATTAATTAATTTAAATATTTAGCTAGCTGGGGTGGGTGGAAGTTAGTGGGGAATTGGGGAATTTTGTGTTAGCGTAGCTAGGGGTTAACATTAAAAAATGTTTTTAAAAAAGCTTTCAAAAGTTTTTAAAAAGTAAAAAAAGTGTTTTAATAACATTTTTAAAAAGTTTTAAAAAATCCCATCCCCCTTACCCAGTCCTAATAAAACTTAACACCTTCCCTGCCAGTTGATTACTGCCTACAGTTATCAAAGTACAGATCACAGTATTATATTATACTGTGATCTGATTTTTTTTTATCCCTGAGGGTTAATTTTTGTGTTTTTTTTAACAGTTTATTTCATTAATTAATTAAAATATTTTTAAATTATATATTTTGCTAGCTGGGGTGGGTGGGAGTTATGGGAAATTGGGGAAATTACTGTTAGTGCTGCCTACTGCTAGTTAGGGGTTAATGGAAAAAAAAAGTTTATAAAAATTTTAAAAGTGTAAAGAATGTTTCAACAAAGTTTTAAAAAGTAATACAAAATTAATACGTAAACAAAAAGTTTAAAAACAAGTTTTAAAAAGTAAAAAAAGTTAAAATTTTTTTAAAAATACATTATAAAATGCTAATTACCACTACTCCTGGAACAAACTAGAGAAAAAATTATCCCTCGCTGAGGTTCAAAATATGCCTTTTGAATTATTCCAGGGTGTGTTTTCTTTAATAAATAGTATGTGTTTGTGGAGAAGTTTGAATAACCAACCAGCTAAACTATTCTGAAATTAAACATGGACACAGCGTAAAACTTCAAAGTTAGAAAAAAAACTGAATGGCTGAGTCTCAAACGTGTCCTTTAGATATCCACAAATACCTGGCAAAGGTACATAAGAGGGTATTGTTGTACTCAGACGACATAGCTTAGCAACATATAAAGTATTATACAGTCGTAGCACACATAAAGTTTGCAAAATATACTGTGCAAACTCGCTTTGTGTGTCAAAAAGGCAGAAAAAATGCTTATTACCACTACACTTGGTACAAACTAGAGGAAAAATGATCCCACGCTAAGGTTCAAAATATGCCTTTTAAATTACCATGGGATGTATTCTTTAAGAAATGGTATGCTTTATGGTGTAGCTGGAATATGTAGCCTGCTCAAGTCAAAGTGAGACACATCAAAACCCTCCATGAAAATTCACACTTAAAAAACTGAACTTTTCATGTCTCTTTTACAGCACTGTAACTTCACAAAATAGTGTCTAGGTCAAGAAATCAAGTGCAGGAAATACTCTGCAAAAATGCAACATGTATGTAAAAATGCAATTTTTTTCCCCATACCACAAACATTGACATAAATTGGTGAAAAAATGGTGACAAGTTAAGGCACAATATACACCATAGAAGATACCCCTGGGTGTCTACGTTATCAAATGGAAGCCTTTTGTGGGGTTATTTGACTACTCACACTGATATAAATCCTCCAAAATGAGACATAGGTCCGTCAAACCCATCTATGATAATTCCAACTATAGAAACTGAAATAGCTTTGTCTCTTATATGGCATTGTAGCTTCACAGAATAGTGCCAAAGGCATACAATGGGGGTATTGTTATACTCAGCAGATGTAGCTGAACACAATAGGGGTTCTGTACAGGAATAGCACACACCAGCATTCCGAAATACACATTACAAAAACCTTGTTATATGTATATGCCAAAATAGATTTAAAAAAAACACAATTTACTCAAATATTTAGCAGAGATTGGCATACAAAATGTCAAAATAACCTTAGGTAAATAGCCTGTGATGTCTACTTTATATAAATACAGTGAAACCTCGGTTTACGAATTTAATGCGCTCTCCGGGACGTTTCTTATTGTGAAAAATGTGTAAACCAAAACCCGGTTAGGAATGCATTGAAAACCAATTAATCCGTTCTGGAGGTCAGAAAAAAGTTAAAATGAGCTGGCATGGAAACCTGTAGTGTTACTTACCTTATCCAGGGGCCGGCCGCGGTCCTCTCTTCAAGCCGCACGCGGTCCTGCTGCTGGACGAGCCACGCGCGGCTCATCCGACGGCTTCACTAAGAAGGAGGGCAGTGACCGCGAGACAGTGGGAGCCTAAATTGTTAAAAGGCTCCCATTGGTCCCTGTCCCTTAAAGAGACAGTGGGAGCCTAAATTGTTAAAAGGCTCCCATTGGTCCCTGTCATGCCACACTCCCCATACACTTACCTTTTGGGGGTGTGGATATGACAGGAGCCAATCACATTAGTTTAGAAGCTATTTAAACTTACCTCTCCCTTTACTCCCTGCCCTATCGTGGTTTCTGTTTCAGTTCCCTTTAGCGCTTGTTGTGTTCAGTTGTGTTTTCTCCGTATTGACTTTGGCTTTGTTTCTGACTACGTTTTCTCTTTATCCTTATCTATTCTGGTTGTCGGCTTCCTGTTTACTGTGTACCAGACCCCGGCTAGTCCTAGTTTACGCTGTCTCTCTGTGTACTTGACTTCGGATCGTTCCTGACTCTGCCTCCTCTCATATACGTCGAGTCCGGCCATTCTAAGGTCCGGTAGACGTATCTCTCCTCTGTGTTGTCTTCTCTTTCGCTGAATCCTGCGTGTTGGGGTATATTCTCGTTACAAAACCAACCCACAATGCAGACCACACAATAAAAGGCATGCAAACGACAAAGCTCAGCTCCCTACCTTTCCACAGCTTGAGAAATGCACCAAAAAGTCCCAAAACAACTGCAAAACAATTTCCAGAATGGCTCCAAAACTCGATGCAAAAGCGGCTCCAACACCTCCAACACCTCCACACTCAACGCCATGTGCTACCCACAGGCTCCAGCATGCAGGGAGCGGTGCTATAAACCTCCCAGGTGCAATGCATCCTGGTGAAACTTGCTTTGTATTGCGAAAAAAAATTGTAAACCGAGGCATTATTTTCAATGGATTTTCATTTGTAAACCGAAAATTATGTTAACCGAGGCGTTTGTAAACCCAGGTCCCACTGTATGTACTTTTGTGTGGCAATTTTGTTTTTTTGTGATGGCTACTAAACCTACAAGACAAACATACTGTAACGGACCGTTTTAGCACACAAGGGGTTAAAACCGTTTAGGCGATATTCCCCTTTTCAGATACACAGGCACAGCTACTGCAGAACACCAAACTCCCGAACTGCATACAAGGGAATGCTCCAAACACCCGAACTGCATACAAGGGAATGCTCCAAACACCCAAACTGCATACAAGGGAATGCTCAAAACACCCGAACTGCATACAAGGGAATGCTCCAAACACCCAAACTGCATACAAGGGAATGCTCCAAACACTCGAATTGCATACAAGGGAATGCTCCAAACACCCGAACTGCATACAAGGGAATGCTCCAAACACCCGAACTGCATACAAGGGAATGCTCCAAACTCCCGAACTGGAACCTCACGAATAGCTGCTAGCGGACGAACAGGAAAAGCAACCAAGCGGCTTACACTCCTGGCAATCAGTCTCTATCAGCATACAGTAAATCCCCCCAAAGATGAGACAGAGCTCCGTGTTGAGGGTCAAGCAGTGGTCTGTTTGATGAGGGCTACCTGCCCAGTATTTATGCAGGTCTCCCACCTGGTGGACACTCCCCTAGGGGACCAAATGGGAGACTGTAACAAAGGACAGACAAGTAGACAAATAGGACACACAGTCACATTGTATTCCCACAATGCATCCTGGCTTTCTCCCCTCTGCCTTGGAGATAATTGAGAAGTAATTCAATTATCTCCCAAGACAAAGGCAAATCGCCATTAACCACATGGCAGTAAAAGACAGTAAAAGACATAAAAATGTATAAAGTTACAACTGTTGCACAAAACATATGCATTCTACCTATCCCCAGATAGCTTAGATCTGAGCGCACATTATTAAGCGAATGGCGCTCAGACCACACGAATACAGTGTAATCGCTACGGAGCCAAGGTCTTTACACAATCAGTTTAATGCGAATGGGCTCCATGGGATTCCTATCTGGGGTATAACATAGACAAGTAAAACTACGAACAACGGCCGTTCGTGTACTTCCACCGAACAAGAAGGGAGGTCGGCAGCTTCAGCGGTGTTCGCGCAAAACTGTGTCCGATTTTAGTTCCATGAATTAAGCGTCGAACACCGCTGTGCATTCGTATGTTTAAAATGTCCGCGACCTCGTGTTCGGGATACGAATGGCGGCCACCCAGCATTCGTCAATTAAGCTGCAGTTAACTGCAGCTTCAGGGAGGTTAATTGCCGGCACACTCCAGCTCCCAGGTGGTCTATTCATTTGTGCGGTTGTTCGGTAGATTGAATCTACCAAACAACCGGCAGAAAAGCATGAATAAAGCTTTTCTGCAGGCGAAACAAAGTCTTTTAACATGGGGCCATAGTCCAAAGGCAGCAGGCGAGCAACCAGGCTTCTCCAATGCAATGTGGCAAGATTGGTCCCGTCACACATACCAACTTCTAAAATTGCTTCACACTGAAATTGTATTTTAGTCCTTTTATTTTGTGACCTGTAACTTTCAAAATAAGCTGAAATCATATACATAATATGTACTCTATAAATCAAGACACATAAATTAATTTATTTTGAATTACTTTTTTTAAGCTGGACATTATATGCACACACTATTATTGCCAAAACTGTGAAAAAAAAATTTTGTTATTTTTTTTCAATTTTTTTGGCATTTGTTTTATAATTAATGAGAATGTATCTATGTATATGTCACATCAAATAAAAGCCCCTTTTGCCCTCTAAAAAACAGTATATAATACGTGTTGGTGCAATAAATGACAGAGATGCAAATTGCATTTAAACACAAACAGCAAAAAATTCAAAAATGACATGTGTCCTTAATGGTAAGTCCAGTTTTTGAAGCTGCATTCTTAAGGGGTTAAACTTATTTTATCTTATGCTCCTCTTAAGTGTATCTTGCCACCCATTTTCTTTTTTTGTGTCACTTACACACCATTGTGTGTCTCATATTTCCCTCCAGCCCCTTTGTGTGCCTCGTATTCCCATTCAGCCCCTTTGTGTGTCTCTTTGTACCCCAGCCCTTTTGTGTGTGTTTTTCTACCCCAGCCATGTTGTGTGTTTCTTTCTTCCCTTCCCCAGCCTCTCTATGTGTCTCATCCCATCCTCCAGCCCCTTTGTGTCTCTTTCTCCCTTTTCTCATCCCCTCTATGTTTCTTTATCATCCCTGCTCCTATGTGTGTCTCTTCCCCCTCCATGTGTCTCATTCGCCTCAGCCCCTCCATTTCACGTATCATTTCATCTTCCTCATGTGTCTCATTCTCTCCCCATCATGTGTCTCATTTCCTCACTACCTTGTGTCTTATTCCCCCAGCCCCACCATGTGTCTCATTCTCCCAGCTTTCATGTGTCTCATTCCTCCCAATGCTCCCCCTCCCCGTGTACAGGTTATGCAGTTCCCTTATGGAGCCACACACTGCCTGGGGAAGCAGGGACAGCAAATTGAGGGGGTGCAAAAATCACATGTCAATTGGACAAGTGATTTTTGCACCCCCTTTTGGCCTGCGTCCCCACTAGGGGCCGGTCTCGCTGAACCCTCAGTACGGCCTAGAACAGCACTGAGCATTTTCAAATTGCAAAGAAAGAATTGCCCTATATTAATATATGCAGCCTTCAAATACTGAGGGATCTGTATCCGTTCCTGTGTTTCTTCCTTTCCACTAGACAGACATATGTTTGGCACACTTACATGCTGTCAGGTTTGGCTGGCAAATCAACAGGTGGCCACATCGTCCAATAAGCTACGGTTGATAAAAATGTTGTCTTTCTATGAAAATTGAATAGATGAAGTTTTGTGTAAAGAAATATCAGTTACATTTTTTTTAATATTTCACTATAAAACCTCAACCACTACCCCCAAAATGACACTCGTTCCACAATGCATTGATGTGTTTAAAAACTATTGTGTCTGTGTAGATTTCATCTAACATCTGTCTTAGGAGATGCAGTACGGTACGATGAAAGTGTTCAGTCTACAGCTAGTCTTTGGAACATTTAGATTATAATTGAAATAGACTCAACTTTGAATATTAAATTAAAACACTGTACCTGGTTCCAACCGTTCATTCAAGAGACTACACCTGGATCTCCATCTCGAAAGAATATAAAAATAACACATTTCGGATATCTGATGGGAGCGGCAATAAAGTATGCGTATTTGGAAAGGTTTTATCAAATGAACACTTTTTTCGTACATCAAAAGACTGGAGGCAGTGGAGGAAGCACAGGATAGAAAAGCCAAGAGTTTAATTTGTTTCATTCCTGCAGGCACTTTATCAAAGCTATGTACATTTGCTAATACCTTTCTGATTGAGGGTATATTATTGGTTCTATCATTAGGGATACTGGTGTAAACTGTGTTTATTCATATCATATCCCATGTATTGACACACAAAGCTGTCTTAGAAACATTTTGTGATTGGTTACGAAAACACACAATTTTATGGAATGAGATCTGGAAAATTAAATGCTATCTGTACTGATATGCGTTGTTCCTATAGCATTCTAGGAAAGGTGTGAAAACATTATATTTCAGAGTTGCTGTGTTATTTATATTTTTCTATCCTTAGGATACAATGATATGTACGTGATACAGTATATTTGACAATGTGTGTTTGCATGTTTGTGTCTGAAGATGAGAAAAAAAAAGAGTTATTTGATTTGATTTTATACCACTTTTAATCATTAAACTATTTATGGTTATAGCTTCTCAGAAAAGAAAAACAAATTTTCTTGGTAAAAAACAAACAAACAAAAGGCAACATTCATTCAACAATCCCAGTTGGCCCGAAATTTGCACAGCAATACATATCTCAGCTAGATGGCAGAGTTCCCTCTAAGTAATTTTTATGTCCAAGCCCTGAAAGAGTAATATGGATACTCATCAGCATCAGTACAGCGGAGAATGGAGCTGGGAAATCAGTACAGAGACTGATCCTAGCAGCCAATCATTGGATCTCAGGAATGAGGTTCCACTCCAGCTCTACCTTTCAAGGTAAGAAAAGAGAGGCTGGGAGGATCTCAATGTGAAGCCCAACCCACTAGATAAATAAATGAATTGCAAATTAAGTGGGTATATGAATTTGTGTGTATGTGAGTCTGTGTGTTTACATATGAATATGTCTACAGAGGCGGCTCTCTAATAAGGCGGTTTAGGCAGCTGCCTAAGGCCTTGCGCTGGCTGGGGCCTAAGGCCACCTAAGCCACCTGTGGGCAGACTGTGTTAGGTCCTCGGTCAGTGACCGAGGACCTGACACCAAAAGGGGTCCCGGTGGATTGCCCGGTATGCCGCCGGGTGTTAGGCCCCTCCTGGCTGCCCGGCCAGCCAAAGCAGACACTGGTCTGCAGCTCCGCAGTAAGCAGAGCTGCAGACCATGTGTCTCGTGAAAACTTGCCAATCAGAGCGTTGCTGCGGGTTACCACGGCAACGCTCTGACATCTCGCGAGATTACATGGCCTGCAGCTCTGCGGAGCTGCAGACCGGAAGTAATTGCCACCGGACCACCAGGGAGCCCACTGGACCACCAGGGAAATTAAGGTAGGTTCTCGCTCACCCCCCACCACCTCACACCACCCTCAGCCTCACCACCCCCCACCACCCTCAGCATCACCACCCCACCACCCTCAGCATCACCACCCCCCACCACCCTCAGCCTCACCACCTCCCACAACCCTCAGCATTACCACTCTCAGCCCACCACTCCCCACCACCCTCAGCATCACAACCCCCCACCACCCTAGCCTCACCACCCCAACACCCTCAGCTCAACACCACCCCCACCACCCCTCAGCCTCAATTCAAGCACCACCCTCAGCCTACCCACCCCTCCACCTCTCTGTTCCCACCCATCAGCTTCACCTAACCCCCACCACCCCCTCAGCCTCACCCACGACCCTCAGCCTCATTACTCCACCCACCACCCTCAGCTCTACCTCACTACCCCCACCACCCCTCAGCCTCATTACCCACGCGACCACCCTCAGCCTCCCCCACCACCACCCTCAGCATAACCAGCCCCCACCACCCTCAGCCTCCCACCACCACCCTCAGCCTCATCCCCCACCACCCTCAGCATCACCCACCCTCACCATCACCCCGACCCCACTCAGCATCACCACCCTCAGCATCACCCTGCCCACACCCCTCAGCATCACCCTGCCCACACCCCTCAGCATCACCCCCCACCACCCTCAGCATCATCCCACCACCACCCTCAGCATCACCTATCCCCACCACCCTCAGCATCACCCCACCACCACCATCAGCATCACCAGCCCCACCACCCTCAGCCTCCCACCACCACCCTCAGCCTCATCCCCCACCACCCTCAGCCTCATCCCCCACCTCCCTCAGCATCACCACCCCATCAGATTCACAATGATAAAGCACTCTCAGGAAACCAGTAACAGGAAACCACGACAGGGCAAGGTATTGGGGTGAGCTAGGGATTTACATATCACGCGGCGGGCCGGCAGCCGCGACACCCTGTTACGTCCCCCTCATCAGGCCTTTTTTAGTCGAATGTATCGCCCACTGTCAGTCCCTTCGGGATCCATCCCTCATTCATCTTAATAAAGGTGAGGTAATCTAGACTTTTTTGACCTAGGCGACTTCTCTTCTCAGTGACAATACCTCCTGCTGCACTGAAGGTCCTTTCTGACAGGACACTTGAAGCGGGGCAGGCCAGAAGTTCTATCGCAAATTGGGATAGCTCAGGCCACAGGTCAAGCCTGCACACCCAGTAGTCAAGGGGTTCATCGCTCCTCAGAGTGTCAATATCTGCAGTTAAGGCGAGGTAGTCTGCTACCTGTCGGTCGAGTCGTTCTCTGAGGGTGGACCCCGAAGGGCTGTGGCGATGCGTAGGACTTAAAAAGCTCCGCATGTCCTCCATCAACAACACGTCTGTAAAGCGTCCTGTCCTTGCCGGCGTGGTCGTGGGAGGAGGAGGATTACTTTCACCTCTTCACCTGTTAGATTCCCGTTGTGCTGTGACATCACCCTTATACGCTGTGTAAAGCATACTTTTTAATTGATTTTGGAACTGCTGCATCCTTTCCGACTTGCCGTAATTCGGTAACATTTCAGGCACTTTCTGCTTATACCGGGGGTCTAGTAGCATGGACACCCAGTACAGGTCGTTCTCCTTCAGCCTTTTTATACGAGGGTCCCTCAACAGGCATGACAGCATGAAAGACCCCATTTGCACAAGGTTGGATGCCGAGCTACTCATGTCCTGTTCCTCGTCCTCAGTGATCTCACTGAAGGTATGTTCTTCCCCCCAGCCACGTACAACACCACGGGTACCAGATAGGTGACAACGAGCACCCTGGGATGCCTGTTGTGGTTGGTCTTCCTCCTCCTCCTCAAAGCCACATTCCTCCTCTGACTCCTCTTCCTCACAATCCTCTTCCAGCGTTCCCGCAGGTCCAGCAAGTGATGCTGATAAGGCTGTTTCTGGTGGTGATGGTGACCACAACGCACACTCGTGAAGGAAACTGACTGCTATTATATTACAGTCCAAAAAGTTTTTTTTTTTTAAATGTAAGCTATTGGGACACCAGTGAGTGAGTGGGGGCACTGGGCAGGCCCTGAAACGCACACTCGCGAAGGAAACTGACTGCTATTATATTACAGTCCAAAAAGTTTTGTTTTTTTAAATGCAAGCTATTGGGATACCAGTGAGTGAGTGGTGGCACTGGGCAGGCCCTAAAACGCACACTCGTGAAGGAAACTGACTGCTATTACTGCAGTATATTACAGGGGCCGTCGTGGTTGTGGTGCTGTGATTCCCTTTGGCCCTAGAATAATGCCCAGTGTTCAGAGGCCACGTACCCTGAACTCGAAAAGTTCTGAGGACAAAGTTGACTGGCTAACACAGGACACCCAATCTTCTACAGCTTCCGCTCGGAACCTTGACGCACCATCCTCCTCCAGCTTAGCTTCAGGCACCTCTCAAGTTAACACTCGCCCGCCTGCCGCCAACACTAGCACCACAGCAGCTTCACTTGGTATGTCAGAGGAGTTATTTACACATCAGTTGGAAGAAATGAGTGATGCGCAACCATTATTGCCAGAGGATGTAGATAACAGGGATATGTCTCAGTCAGGCAGCATTACACACATGGACGTACGGTGTGATGATGATGATGTTGTACCCGCTGCTGCTTCCTTTGCTGAGTTGTCAGATACAAGTGAAGCGGTTGATGATGATGATGCGTCCGTGGATGTCATGTGGGTGCCCGCTAGAAGAGAAGAAGAACAGGGGGAAAGTTCAGATGGGGAGACAGAGAGGAGGAGGAGTAGACGAGTTGGAAGCAGGGGGAGGTCGTCGCAAGGAGCTAGTGGCACAGTCAGACAGCATGCATCGGTACCCGGGGTCAGCCAGACAGCACGCCAATCAACGCATGCTGTTGCCACCACCAGAATGCCGTCATTGCAGAGCTCAGCAGTGTGGCATTTTTTTTGTGTGTCTGCCTCTGACAACAGCGATGCCATTTGCAACCTGTGCCAAAAGAAACTGAGTCGTGGGAAGTCCAACACCCACCTAGGTACAACTGCTTTGCGAAGGCACATGATCGCACATCACAAACGCCTATGGGATCAACACATGAGTACAAGTAGCACACAAACTCAAAGCCACCATCCTCCTCCTGGTCCAGCATCTTCAGCCACGTTAACCACTGCTGTCCTCCTTGCCCCCTCTCAACCATCCGCCCCTCCGTCTCTCGCCTAGAGCAGGTCCTGCTCATCTGCCCACAGTCAGGTGTCTGTCAAGGACATGTTTGAGCGGAAGCCAATGTCACAAAGTCACCCCCTTGCCCGGCGTCTGACAGCTGGCTTGACTGAACTCTTAGCCCGCCAGCTTTTACCATACAAGCTGGTGGAGTCTGAGGCGTTCAAAAAATTTATAGCTATTGGGACACCGCAGTGGAAGGTACCCGGCCGAAATTTCTTTGCACAAAAGGCAATCCCCAACCTGTACTGGATTGTGCAAAAGGAAGTAATGGCATATCTGGCACACAGTGTTGGGGCAAGGGTCCATCTGACCACTGATACCTGGTCTGCAAAGCATGGTCAGGGCGGGTATATCACCTACACTGCGCATTGGGTAAACCTGCTGACGGCTGCCAAGCATGGAATGTGTGGCTCTGCAGAGGAGTTGGTGACACCGCCACAACTTGCAGGCAGGCCTGCTGCCACCTCCTCTATTCCTCCTACTCCATCCTCTTCCATAACCTCCTCGGCTGAGTCTTCTTCTGCTGCTGCATCTTGCTCCACATCAACGGCACCCCCTCAGCTCCCCAGGTACTATTCCACATCCCGGATACGGCAGTGTCATGCCGTCTTGGGGTTGACTTGCTTGAAAGCAGAGAGTCACACCGGATCAGCACTCCTATCCGCCCTGAACGCACAGGTGGATCAGTGGCTGACTCCGCACCAACTGGAGATCGGCAAAGTGGTTTGTGACAACAAAATAAATTTGTTGGCGGCATTGCATTTGGGCAAGTTGACACATGTGCCGTGCATGGCACATGTGTGTAATCTGATCGTACAACGCTTTGTGCATAAGTACCCAGGCTTACAGGACGTCCTGAAGTAGGCCAGGAAGGTGTCTGGCCATTTCAGGCGTTCCTACACGGCCATGGCGCACTTTTCTTCTTTTGCCACAGCCTTTACGTTGATACTTTTTGGCAAATAAAATTAATTAGCATTTAAAAACATAGCAGATAAGGACATGCCTCCAAACAGCTAGATATTAATATATCTTGTATTCTTCTCATTTCTGTTATGAGCATTGGTTAATGTTTTTTCTCAGATTCCAAGACAAGATTGAACAGTTTGTTAACTGACATTGACAGCAAATGAAATTAAATGGCAAAAGATGTCAGATCTAATTTTTTTTTTATTTGAATACTTCATGTAGAGTGAAGATCAATATTCCTGTAAGTGAATTTAGAAACATTATGTCATGAAATCATATTGTAAAACGGCGTGAGAAGGTGCTGTGAGGTTATGAAACAAACACAACATAATCATTGTACGTGGTTGTTTCAGCAACCAAAGATACCATCAAGAACCTAACTAGGACATATCTATATCTTCTTTTAATGGAAAGTCGAGCATCAAAACATTACCAAAAAGACACTAATAAAATTTAAGTGCCGGAATCACTATTTTAATTTTAATGTCCCAAACCATTATAACTAGTAAAATATAACTATTTGATGCCTTGGATGTCACTTTCAAGTCTGTTAATTAGGTTTTAAAAAATCACCTATCGAGTAGAAGAGAAAGGTCTGTCTTTTGTACAAGGAATGTCTTCGTATTCTTCATGTAAAGAATCCAAACTTCAGATTTTTTTTTGCAAATGACAACGTATTCAGCACCCT